TTATGGTTTTCAGTTTCGCGTTATCGAGAAGCGTTAAAGGCTTTCGTATTTTTCCTCTTTTTCTTTCTTTTCCTTTTCTTCTCTGGACTCACCTACCACCCCTTTTTGTGTACACACACACACACACACACACACACACACACACACACACACATATATAGATAGATAGATAGATACATATATATATATATATATATATATATATATATATATATATATATATATATATATATATATATATATATATATATATATATATATATATATATATAAATATAATATATATATATATATATATATATATATATATATATATATATATATATATATATATATATATATATATATATATATATATATATATATATATATATATATATATATATATATATATATATATATATATATATATATATATATATATATATATATATATATATATGTTTATATATATAAACATATATAAACATATACTATATCGAATCCTTTATTATTTTGATTACTAGTAGGCAACCCTTTGTTTACAAGTTGGTTTTAGTTAGGCGTCCCTTTAGCTTTAGCCACGACCGCTTTTTGCGTTTTTACATTCTATTTATCATATATCTATTTCACCGTGACTTTTATTTCAAAATGTCGAGTTTGGCACGTGCACCTTTTCTATTCTGTTGTATATTGTTTTAATGTTATTTGTTATGTTTTGTGGCTTGTTTCATTTTATTAACGATACTTTTTAATTCCACTTCTTTCGTTTAAGGAATTACCTTTAATAAATGTATTGGACATCTCGCGTGAGACAAATAACAAACTACAAGCCCTATGTGTGGGCATGTGGTCCAAACCCCATTCTTTAAAAAATAGTGTCAGTCGGACTTTTAATGTCACTGCCCTTTCCTGGAGGACACCAGTCGGAAGAAAAACACAACAAAGGAAATATCTGAGCCTTTTCATACATATTACTTGCCACAGTTAGGAGCAGGGACGCACGTAATCTTTATTTACTCAAGAATGAGTCTATAATGAACATTTTTTGGCACTAGATTACCTTTATACTGATCTGAATATTCTTTATTTGTGTTTTTGTCATATTGTGTTTTTGTCAAATATTTCTACGGGACCGCCTCAAAGATATACTCATTTTCAGTGACCTTATTATTGTGGAATTTAATTAATGATTATTACAAGTATTATCTCTGGAGTATCAACACACACACACACACACACACACACACAGCTAATGGATAACGAAAATAGCTTTCAGCTTGGAAAAGAATTGAAAAATTGAATAAAACAATGAACGTCATTTTGGTGTTATCATTATCACTGTCGTTGTTATTGCCATTAGTATTTGCTTCTATTACCTCCGAGTTTTTGGTAGTGTTGGTTAGTTTATTCGTTGGCAGGAAAACTCAAAAAGTTATGAACAGATTTTATGAGTTTTACCAGAGGTGTGTCATAACCGAACTTAGATGCCAGTAAATCTTGGTGGTGATCCGGATCATGATTCGGGTCCAGGAATTTTGACGATTGCATTGGTAAGTATTATTATCATTACCTTCATTATTTCTACCAAGGAGGTTAACTTTACGGACGTCACCAGTGTATTTGAGAAAGGGTTATTTTAATGTAATTCTAAAATGTGAATATTTCATTTGCATCAGTAACCCTATTGCTTTCACGGAGGTGAGAGCTCTCTGAGTGCCTCTGGTTGTTATTGTTATCATTGTTGATACTTTTTATAGTAACAATAATACTAATAATTATTTTATTATCATTTTTACTGCTACTATTACTACTACCACTATTGCTCATACTCCTAATATTAATGTAATCATTGATATCATTATATTTTTGGTGATATTGCATTGCACTGTAATTATTTCATAATTGTGATTTATGCATTCTGTGAGTAATACGTGATATTTTAATTTAGGTCTCCTAGAGAGGTGACCTAAATCCCATGTACTGTGATTAGTTATATAGAACTTCCGATTTACACGTAAGGCATATCAGAATCAAAGCAATCAGTTACTATAACCTATTTTATTTGTTCCTTTCAGGTGTGAAGAACAATTAACTTATTTCCTATATCACATGCACTGGAGTATTTAGCTTTGTTCATAATCACTACTTTGCTCTCCTCATCCCTCTATGTCCGTCTGTATGTTTGTCTGTCAGTATGTCTGCTTGTGTCTGCCAATTTATCATCATTTCTAAGAAGTAAACAATTTTTGTTATTGTCCTTGAAGCAAAGAGACGGGTGTGTGTTTCAGGCATCGTCCAGCCGGTTTCCCCTTTACATGGAAATATTTCTACGGGACCGCCTCAAAGATATAACCAAGAGAAATAATTAACATAAAGGAGCCCTACGGCGATGGGAAGTTCCCCGGACATCGACTGAGGAAGCTACGAAGGGATTCCGCCCAGTCATTGGTCCGCGTAAATAGATCCAATGGGACATGCCGAGCCCTGTCGCAGAGCAAAGCACCATAGAGGCCAAGTCGTAGGTTT